CTACGGCTATTGGGCCAACTCCACCAATCAGGAGGAGACAGCCACGGCCATTGCCGTTCGAAAGCGCTGGAGACGCTGTAGTACATATGCCAGGCCAGTAGATGGTGCTGTTCTCACAGAATCTGCTTTTGCAAATCCAGAGCTAAAAAATGTCAAATTGAGCAAAATGAGGCATGGCTAAAATGCATGATCTGTTTGGTATTTTGAAAAAAAAAAAGTATAAATATGCCTTATATAGGTATGGTCCTACACTATATTATTCAAATATAGCATGTTAGGTCCACTTTAAGGGAATATTTTAACAACGGATATACATATGATGTTATCCTTGACATGCTGTCAACCCATCACCACATCAACATGTCCCAAAACATCAGCCGTTAGTTGTTAGCACACAGAGCTCACAGCTCCTCATATCTGTTCAGAAACTGGACAAAAGTTAAACATGTACACCAGTGACGTGCGGTGAGGTTCATGGCTGGTGAGGCACTGACTCTTTCAGAGTCAGATTTACAAATATTATATTTTGACCTTAATCGAAATATTCTGTTATTTTCAAAAGCTTTTTTAGTCTGATGCTATGATTAATTTTAAACAGACCGTTCAACAAAAGGATACCCAAAATCTAAATATTGGATTGTTCTTTCTTAGTAAGATCCCATTTTCATGACAGTTGTGGTCTTACCTTGACTTGAAGATGAATAGAAGTCCATGCTATCCTTCTGGACAACAATCTCTATTACTTTTTTGTAAAAGTCCTCCTTATCTTCCTCTAGTTTCAAAAGTCTGTTGTTTGCGTCTACTGTCTCTGCGTAGAATAACAGTAGCAACAAGAACCTGTGGGCTCACGTGCGCCCCCTTCAGTGCGGCAGAGGTTATGGCTGCCTCTCCTGTTGCTTTTTTCATTGCCATTGTACGATGAGACCAGCGAGCCTAAATATCATATATACGTGAAATAAGTTATTTAGAGACTATGGATGGCGAGGATAAATGTAATAAAGGGATCTACAAACATTACATTGGTGACATACAGTGAGATGGTAACAGGCATGCGCTTAGGGCCCGCTTTCCAGCCAGTTTCTGTGGGGTGATGCATTCTGAGGTGAGGCAGAGCTCATCTGTGCCTCACCTTACCCCACAGTAACTGGCTTGAGCGTGCTCACAAAATAAGTGGCCGCGCTAAATTAGTGCCCGCGCTCCAGCAAGTTACTGTGGGCTTACGTGAGGCAGAGCTCGTCCCTGCCTCACTTCTCATCGTTCCCGTAGCGAAGCTCGGCAAATTTGCTGATTTTGACTATAAAAAGCGATTGGAATCATACAGAAATCACATTTACACAAGATCAGTGGAGACATTTTATTATTATTATTATTTAGTTTTTCTTTAATTGTTTTTCCGTTACATTGGAGTATGACAGGTGAGGCTCTGCCTCCCCTGCCTCCCCTGACTGCACGTCGCTGATGTACACAGACTGTCTGTGTCATGGCGAATACAGTCACTGCTTTATTTCTGTCTGTATGACTTTGTTGTGAGTTTGGACGGAGTAGCTACAACTTTAGCCAGATCGATCCGATCTCCATTCAGAAAACACACATTTTAAAAGGTTTTTCGCCTGACATCTTGTCTGCACATTTGTCAAAGCATTAATTCATGGTTTTTACCCACCGGTATCAGTATGTTGTTACTTCGGCATCATTTTGAAACATGTATTACAATTAAATCACAGTCAAATATGTTCATTTTGTTGTAGTTGGTATCTATCGTAGTATTTGCATGGATATAAGCCCTGCCCCCTCTCCAGCGCGTCCTGTTTGAATGACAGGAGTATACAGCTGACAGCCGCGGTGAAACTCGAGCGATTAGAGCGATTCGAATATTCAGGGCCGAAGTAACAACATACTGATACCGGTTAGTAAAAACCATGAATGAATGAATTATATTGGAAAAATATATTGTAGGGCCATACCTATACAAAACATGTCTGTGAAGTTTTTTGCTTAAAATACCAAACAGATCACCCATTGTAGCCATGCCTCATACTGCTCATACCCCTCTTTTGCAGCCCTGTTAGAGAAACGCGGATTTTGGGTCGGAGGCTAATGCCTGATCAGAATTCTACCGGAGATAAAGTTAAATTCTGCTGTGATAAAACCACATCAAGGATTATTTCTGAAACAGTATGGAGCTCAAATGCTTTTTCTCTTGCGGGTTTATCACAAGGTGAGTTCCTTTTTTTATTTCCTGCTTTTTAAACACATGTGCTCTCCAGTACAGGTTAGCTCTGATGCCCCTTTCACACCGGCGCTTTTCCAGCTCCAGCTCGGAGCTAGAGCCTGAAAAGCGCCGGTTTTTCCTGTTCACACCGCAGCGGCGCCGCCTCATAGCTCCGGAATGCGGTTCACTTCCAGCTCCAAAAAATTGTCGGTCTAGAGGCAAGAGCTTCGGAGCTATGACGCGGCGTCGCTTACGTCTCTCTTACGTCGAGGCGTGCAGGAAACTAAACCCACCTCCCCTGAACATGGGTCGACTGAAGAGTCTCGTCATGCCTGCCTACAAGCAGTAGCGCTGAGCAAAGTGACTAGAAGGTAACCACACACTTATAAAAAAAAACACACTTTATAAAGTCAGGCAACACTAACCAGGCTTCGTGTGATTCTGTTTATTTGTACCTTACTTTGACCATCCGTTCGCTGTTATTGATCATTGTGGAGAGCAGGCAGACGTTTTGTTTGTTATTATAGCAGCTATCGGATGGAATCAATACATGGGCTGCACAGGTTGTCATGTCCGACTATCACAAGTAGAATCATAATGAAAAATACGCCGGTAAAATGTGCCTGTAGAAAACGGCTTAGCAAGTGGTCAGTTTAGCTTCGGTTGCTATGCTAACATCACCCATGTTATACCAGAGAAACTTTCATAACAGAGTTGTGATGCCAAACAGCGTCAATTCAGACTGACACACATTCACTTAAGGGGAACTGGGGATATGTATCAGCTGCTTGTGTGACAGTCAGACAGTGAATACTTTAGAGCCGTGTGAGCTAACCCGGAGCTAACGGGAGAATAAACTCCCGTGGAAGAGCAGCCAGCACTGCAGCGGTCGGTAAATGCCGCTGAAACACATTAATAAACAATGAACCACGGCACTCTGGAGAAAAGTATAAGGTTGGAGAAGTCGTTATTTAATTTAATATGGCTTCGTATGATTAAAAGCAACACGATCATCGACCCGACGCAGTCCCCCCCCGTTGTTGTTGTTGCGAGCTCCGTTGGGGAGAAAATCAGCGATGTAAACGGTGACGTCATGACGCAGCAGCGGCAGCTGGGCGGTGTGAACAGAGCGGGAGCTGAAAATGGAAACCGGAGCTGAACCAGAAAAGCTCTAGCTAGGAGCTAGAAAGGGAAAAGCGCTGGTGTGAAAGCCGCATGAGTGTTAGCGAGGCTTGCTAATGTAAACAAAGACGAGATTACGTCCAAAACACGTCAGGCATTGTTTCTGATAGCAACTTTCTGTGGGTCCGCCGCCGATTTGACGTCATATCGGCAGCAAATCTGTATCCGCTCGTTGTACCCCCGTTTTTTAAAAAGATTTGGGTACGGAGGATTTGGGTATGGAGGATTTGGGTACACATATTTATGTATAAAAGACATCAAAAAGTGCATTTTGCATGATGACAAGTGTGCAGACAAGATGGCAGGCGAAAAACCTTTTAAAATGTGTGTTTTCTGAATGGAGATCGGATCTATCAGGCTAAACTAACCTGTAGCTGCTCCGTCCACACTCACAACGTCATACAGACATAAATAAAGCAGTGACTGTATTCTCCATGACACAGACAGTCTGTGTACTTGTTTAACTTTTGTCCAGTTTCTGAACAGATATGAGGAGCTGTGAGCTGTGTGCTAACAACTAACGGCTGATGTTTTGGGACATGTTGATGTGGTGATGGGTTGACAGCATGTCGAGGATAACATCATATGTATATCCGTTGTTAAAATATTCCCTTAAGATTTCCATCTCTTCTTCCATTCGTTCCATCTCAGTTTAAAATTCGTGCAGAAACAGCTGAATAGTACCAAACAGGAAATACGTGGCGCTGTCGCGTGCTGACCAATCACGAAGCGTCATTTCTTGACTGGCAGCAAAAACAACCAATCACAGCAGTGCTTCTCTGGCTGGCTCTGTCCAATCACAAACAAGAAGTGTTCTCCCTAAAGGAATACCCTTTCCGTAATAGTTTAAATGCTGTAGCATTTTGTGAAATGCTGTATTGTTTTGTGAAATGCTGTAGCGTTTTGTGAAATGCTGTAGTGTTTTCTGAAATGCTGTAGCGTTTTGTGAAATGCTGAAGCGTTTTGTGAAATGCTGTAGTGTTTTTTGAAATGCTGTTGTGTTTTATGAAATGTTTAAGTGTTTTGTGAAATGCTGTAGTGTTTTGTGAAATGCTGTTTTGACTTGCTCTTCAGGGCCACCGTATTATTCATTAATTCATCATGTAGTTTATGGGCACCGTACTACTATTAAGCGGCATATGACTGAATGATAAATTTATGATATTCTTTGCAAGCCGGATTTGCCCCAAAGGCCTCTGCACTGGACCATATTGCAAGTTTGATTAAAATTCAACTAATTATGCAACCCTATCTTCAACCTATCCTCGCTTAAATTATTCAAGGTCAGTGCCTAAGTTTACAACACAGAGCACTATCGGAACTGAAGCTGGGTTGTCTGACAAAAAATAATTGGACTTAAAATATGGCAGCTATAAAAGCATTTTTATGGCTCTGCCGGACCATTTTAATCTAATTATAGTTTATTTTTCTCATAATGATGCAACAATCTTCTCCAAAACGTTTTATTTTTCTTCAAATGTCTTTTTGTTGTTATTTCACACAAACAGATCCTGTCAGGAATGGAAAGTGTCAGTCAGCAGACCATGAGTTATTTTTTATTACAAACATATTTGTTCTGTTCGTTGTTTTGTCATGTGACCACCAGTGATGACAGTGATTGGAGTACGAGTCCAGACTGCATCCGGATGACCGAGTCAGAGTGTGATCTGACCGAACACCTCACACCCTACGACAGGTACACACCTCTATCACCTGAATTATAACTATAATGTTCAGTAGATATCTGGGAAGCTGACATTCATTCATTTGTTATTTTTAAGGCACTTGTGTTTTAAAATAGTCCTACAGAAACTCACATTTTCTGTTTTTCAAGATATATAATCATATATTTTAATGAAGCTAATAAACTGTGAGTTTGTTAAATCTTTAAATCTGATGTCAGGGCAATGACTAACACACTCATATCAGGATCATCACACAGCTCGGCAGTGTTGGTCTGTGAACATTTGTTTTAAACCAAAGTGAAGACACTTAACCGAGTCTTCCAGTAGTATACTGTATGTATCATACATGTAAAAAAAATCACATCTACTGTATACATCTATATCTAAAACTATAAAACCAACAAGTCTTCCAAATAAAACATGCTCTTCTGTCTTTTTAAATCTTAGTTTGAGTAAACTCACTTTATTAATATACATTTCTTTCTCCTTTTTAATTTGTAGATATCTGAGCATATTACCATATTGCTTCAGAATGTTGTGTTACTTCCTGTGTAAAATCCAAACACCATGAATGTTGAATGTGTTTGACATGTTCCTCTCTTCCTGTGCAGGGCCTACAAGGCTGATATCCAGACTGAACCTGATCTGGTGGACTATGATGAGGACTATGAGAACTACCCTCACACGTACTCTGATCCCTTCAACCCCTACAGAGAGAGTAGGTGTCACATACTCAAGCTCAAAAACTCCAAATCACACAGTAAATGTTATTTCATAAAATACTTAAAGGGAACTTTTAAACTGTCAATAAGTCTAATTATTTTATAGTCCAGGACGAGGGGTAATGAAGGATAGAAAAGGCTTCTCAAAAGAATAGATCCCTACTATTGTTAAAACCCATGCATCATAAACCTAAAAACCAAAACCGTGAGTTCTGTGCTAAGTGTGTTAGCATTTTTTCGCTCAGGGCTCATTTAGACGCTTCTTGTGAGACTTGTGTTTTGTTTCAGTAAAAATGGTTCGTATCGTCAGTTAGCTGAGTTTCTTCCCGTTAGGTGGGTATGACACATTCATAGTTTGTTAAATGTTAAGAAGCCCTCAGACGCTGCGTTTTTGCGCGGGTCCGTGGGGCTCAACAGGTTAAGCCCAATTGCCCCCGCCGGCGGCACTAAACGAAGCACAAGGGTAACACCGAGTGTCTGAATTAGCACTAAGCACATAACTCACGGTAGCGATATTTTATACTTCTTGCAATCTGCACAAACTGGATATCATATGAAAGCTGAGATTCCACAGATTCCATTGGAACTTCTGTCACATGCTGTGTACCTGGAGCTGCAGCTAGCAGCATGTATGAGTAGTTTGTATGTTTGCACAGTGACAGTGAGTGTCTCTGCATTAGCATTTTAGCTCATAGCTACAGTATTTAGTAAATTCACACAGACTTACCTGTGACTTAGGTTGTGGTTGTGGTTGTTTGACTTGTAATCATAAACTTTGTGAATGCATTTTTGACGGTTGCATTGTTGTACAACAGTTAACAATTAGTAACCTGCATTTCAATTATGTAACGGTGATTTAGCCCAGCATTACTGCATCTCGTTATGGTGTAGCCTAGTAACCTACATGTAGTATAGTACATTCATTACCCCCCTGTAGCTCCTGTGCTGCTTTATTGTTGGTAAGTAGGTGCACAGACTTGCTGTTGTAAATGAATGTAGGCTACTTCTTCTGTGGTGTTTTAAACAAGTACGATGGTTGGATATTAGCCTTCCCTATTCTGAGCCTCACCCACGGCTATGGTAATATCTTTTAAAGCAACAGATAACTGTGTGAACAGGCACATACCTGTTGAATGAATGGTTTCATATTGTTAACCATTGCTTCTCCTTCAAGCTTCAGCTTGCTCTGTGTGAGCTGATGTTTCATGCTGGCAGTATCAGAGGCAGCAGACCTGTTGATTCCTGCTGTGTTTTCCTGCAACAGGCAGCTTATCTGTCTTGTGCTTAGCTGGAACCCAATGACAAAGATCTCTTTATTTTGTATTTACATTCCATACAACATAACTGCATTATCTAAAGTGTTCCGAGGGAAACATAATTTCACCCGGATACTGGGTGCCGTTTTAAACGTGCAATTGTCAAAACAAATAAAACTACTTGGACAGTTTTAGAAAATAGATTGTAGTTTAGATATGTTTATTAATTCATTTAAATAAATACAAAATCAACATAGATTGGACTTCACACAGGAGACTAACCCCTCAACCCCTTCCTCCTCCCAACATGTACTTCCGCAACCTGATTAGAAACGTATTTCAGATATATGTCCAAAGAAATAGTAATTTATTGGAAAAAACATTTCCCATGAAACATATTTGACAAAAGCAGTGCGGTTGCATGGGAACATAATTGTTTGCAGACAAGGATGACTGAAGATGGGCCACTGGGGAAACATGTATATAGAAAAATAAAATTGCTCAGAAGATTTATCCTTCAGGGACTATGTACTTGAGTGTATGAAGTACACAAGAAAGCATTGCTCGTGCCCCCTCTACAAAAAGGGTTTTTTCCATTGGATTTCTGCAGAGAATGAGATCTCTGGAAAACACTTTTATGATACTTACACATTTTGTTCAGCAGGATAATCTCCACATGCTAACACCAGTTTTTGACCTCCTGAGGCTTAAATGCAGTCACTTGTTAGCAACCGCTGTGTTCTGACACATCGAAGCTTCAGACATTCACCAGTGGGGTCAGGGTTCTTACGGTCATTAAAAACCTGGAAAAGTCATGGAAATTCAAAATGCTAATTCCAGGCCCTGGAAAAGTTATGGAAAACAATATTTTTCCCAAAGTTTTGGAAAAGTCATGGAAATGTAACTAAAGTTGCTTCAAATATAATTTATATTTTATCTAATCGCCAAAATAGTAATACTATAATGATAATAAATACTGTATTGAATAGTAATGAAACGTAAAATGGCATTTAACTGTCGAGGTATTTTGCTGGTGAGAGATTTTAGTTGCTTTAGCGTGTAGAAGCTAGTAAGCCTATTTGATTTGTTTTAGATAGGCACAACATGTTTCATATGCAGACCTTATTTTCCTGTTCCATGTTAAAATAAACAATTTTCAGTGGTACCTACTGCTGAGAAAGAGAACTTTTTTTGGTCATGGAAAATTAGGTAAAGGTCATGGAGAAGTCATGGAAAATCATTGGTGAAAAAGTGTATGAACCCTGTGGGGTATTTACTGATATATTTTACATCGAGGAACAAAACGTGACCAGCTTGTGTTAACCACACTTTCAGGTTCCAACCAAAACACCTTCAAATACCATTGAATTTTGAGACCAGGGAATCTGAAGTGGTAACATGCTAACTCATTTCTGCACTACTCTATAGAGACACAGAAGCTCCTCTTTAAAAAAAATAGAGGATAAAGCATTAAGTGGTTAGCCAGCACAACAGTAAGAAAAAAGGGCCTGTAGTACTGACCCACAGCTTTATGAATAGGACTCTTATGAACTCTCTCATTTCTCATGGTCCCCTTTGATTGGTCCTCTCCTCAGGTAAAATCAGTGCGGTGGACATCACGGTGGAGGCTGTGGATGAGAGCAGAGTCATGGTCAACATCACAGATCCTCTGACTGGGATTCACCGGCGTGGGAAGCAGCTCAGCCTCAGAGACATCCTCAAAAATGACCTCAAGTATAAGATCAGCTACTACAAGTCTGGAAGTACAGGCAAGGTACAGAACTGCTCTGCAAAGACCACACTGAGACACTGCAGAGCGCAGGCATACAGTCTCACCTGAGCACTGAGAATGAACAGTTGTATAATGTACGTTGAATGTTTTTGATTTATAAATATAATTTATCAGCTAGATGTTTCGGTACCACTTTACAATAAGACTACCCTTATAAAGGATTAATAAAGGGTTTATAATTAGGTTATTAATTAGGTTGTAAACACTTTATTAATCATTAAGAGTCATTTATAAACCAGTTCTAACACAGGCTCACTATTTGGCAAGATGACGAAGCCTTATATTGGCTACCTAGCTTACTTCGTCTTCTTCATCAGCCAGCGTCCTTGGTATCTGTTGTTCACTGAGTTGATTCTCCCCCCATCCATCTTGATGTTTCTTGGCATCTCTTATGACCATTTATGAATGAGTTACTAACATTTATAACTGCCAAAAGGGAGCCTTGTAAAGTGTAAAACAAATCACCATTTTATTAATGAGTTACAACCATTTATAATTTCTTTACGTTATATTAAGCCTTAAAGTTATGCATAAATTAGGACGTGGTCACATTGAGTGACAGGTCTGTCCAGTGACTGCTGTTGTTAGCTTTCTGTCTCTCTGCTAGCAGCTCCATGATGCTACAGGGGCTCTGCCTGCTCAGATCATCCGGGGAACATAACTTGAACTCGGCCGTGCTTGTTGTGCTGGTGCCTTGTGGACTATTCTTCATGCTTATATCGGACTATTGTGACTCACTTTGCGGTTAAAACAGACGGTGCATGAAGGCGGTTTTACGGTAAGTGAAATTCGAGTACTTTATGTATGTGTTGCTTATGTTTTTAGTCAGCTAACGTTAATTAATGTTAAGGGTTAGCATGTAAGCAAGTGGTAGCTACAATGCTAATCGTAGCCTCCAAGTTAAAACGTAATAGAGAAGTGTTAAGCATTAAGTGGGATAATACTGTAGAACAAACAGCTTCTGTTTGAGGAAGGTAAAATAAGGTCATCCTTGTAAGGTAGAGAGATATTTTATTATATAGGTAACTTTATGCATTGCTAAGGTTAATTTAAATTCGCTATGATCGATTATGTAGACAAGCTAACGTCAAAGTAGTGTTGAAGAGCGGCGTAGTGTATGTGAAATTAACCTCACAATAAGATGTGTGTATATTACAAATAATAATGTCATATTTCAAGATGATTACTTAGATATTACAATATGGTTGGTTGAGCTGGAGTTCATTATTGAGCTTACACGTTAACGTCACAGTCATATCTGAAGAACAAAGCCAAACCTTGTTCTTTTTATTAATTGTATTACCAAATTGGTATCAAATAAATAGTAAGCATTGGTAACACCAATGCTGATAAAGTAAACTATTTTATTTGAGTATTTGTGTCTGGGAGAAGGTACTGTACCCAGTTCCTATGTTCGGCAGTTATTGACTGGGCTTTCTTGTACAAGAGAATACAAAAAATCAATATGTACCATTACTGTATAATTATCCTTAAATGATGTTATACAATGCACCTAATAAACAAGTATGGCATTTTGAAACATGATGTGCAACAATTTTTACTGTAATTTGTGTGCATTTTGTTGTTAAAGGTGGGGTAGGTAATTTTGGAGAAACCGGCTCGAGTGCGCTAGAATTTGAAAATACACAGCCAGAAAAAATCTGCCACTTCCTTACAGAGCCCCTCCTCCAACACACACGAACGCGCACATGACCAATGAGGGCACGAGATAAGTTTGTGCACAGATGGAAGGCTGACAGGCAGGTAGGCCATCCAGTTATTTTAGCCGGGCCGGCTAAAATGATTGGTCGGGCTTTTTACAGTATTACGGCTTCCACAGATGACATTTTTTAATGGATTTTTTGTCAAAGCACTTAAGATATTCATTGCTATCGGGATGTTAAGAGCATTCCATGGAATATAACAAGTGTATCTCGAGCCGGTTTCTCAAACTTACCTACCCCACCTTTAACTAAGATGATGTTATGATTTATTTGTTGTTAGTATGCACGCGGACGCTTTGGACATACCTGGAGAAGGAAAAAATGGGTCTTCGGAATGATGGGATTTAAAGACAAAAGGCGGAGACTAGTGTTGAAACTAGTGGAGAAAGGATCAAGATGCCACCTTGCCCCTCTGATTAGACGGCGTGTTAAGTCAGGAAGTAGCATTATTAGTGATGAGTGGAGGGCATACAGGAGAGTGCTGAGTAACATGGGGTACAACCAATACACCATAAACCGCAGCAGGTGGTTGGTGAACCCCCAGACTGGCAGTCATACCCAACATAATGAAAGAGCTTGGTCGACCGTCAAAGGACATGTCCGTAGACTGAGAGGAAACCGTACAGAGAGTTTGTTGGAGGAACACCTCAAGGTTCTTGAATGGTCATCTTGGCTTGGCTCTGGTCACCTTGATGGACTGCTTGGACGCTTGTTCAAGGATATACACAAAGCCATTCCAGTCTGAGTACCATTATGTCTTACCAAGTCTTTCATTTATGTCTGAGAAAAGCTTTTATGTTTAAATATGTGTATCAGTCATACTAAACAGTCATTACTTTGAGTCCTGATTTTCTTCATGTGTGAATAAAATGTTTTGCTTGGCTCTTTTGCATCTTACTTTGCATTTCATGTGAAAAATGTGTATTAGGTACAGTAAGCGTGAATGTTATAACTCATTCATAAATGGACATGTGTATTAAACTTAAAAACAACGCACCCTTTCAGTAGATATAAATGTTAGTGACTCATCAATAAATGGTGATATGTGTCACACTTTACAATAAGGCTCCCTTTTGGCAGTTATAAATGTTAGTAACTCATTAATAGATGGTCATAAGAGATGCCAAGAAACATCAAGATGGAAGGGGGGGAATTAACTCAGTGAACAACAGATACCAAGGATGCTGGCTGATGAAGAAGATGAAGTAAGCTAGGTAGCCAATATAAGGCTTAGCAGTACAGATAAATGTGGGCTCACTATTTGGCAAGCAACCGGTCACAGTTGCCCTGTTTATCTCATGTCTTATAAAAGCTTATTAATGATTTATAAAGTGTTCACAACCTAATTAATAAATAAACTATTCGTAAACCCTTTATAAGGGTAGTCTTATTGTAAAGTGGTACCGATGTTTCAAATGTAAATTACTGTATTATTATGGTTGATTAAAATATTCATGTTAGAGCTGTGTCATCCAACCTGACACAGATACAATGTATCTTTATACACGGGACAAACACTTTTTGGTTAAACTTTGCTTTTAAAGAAAGCTTTACAAAATAAGTACATGGACACAATATATTAGTATTTATTATATTATTTATTATATGCTCTTCTCCAACACTGCTTTATTCACGTCATTTTGGCTAACTCCTTGTGAAATTGTCAACTGATCTATTGATCACCATAATGTTTTACAAAAAAAAATATTTGATCCCATAGAATTATATAATTTAAACTTATATTTCATACAAAATTATTCATTCTTTAAACCAAAATGTTCAAAACATTGTAAAGCTTTTACCTCTATTTAGTAAAACTATAATCTTTAAAACGTCAAGGACTAAAATATGTAGCTGGAGCCAGGAGCGACTTAGCTTAGCTTAGCATGAAGCCTGGCGGTAGGGGTGTCTCTGTCCACCTGCTGGCACCTGTTTTACTTTATACAAGATGTCTATCAGTGAGCTTTAGTGAGCTGGTAGCTATTTTTTATTCATTCGGATGGAGCCGGGCTAGCTGTTTCCCTCTGTTTCCATTCTTTGTGCTAAGCTAAGCTAACCAGCTGCATGCTTTAATGGAAATTTGAATTTTGTCAGCTAACTTTCAAGATTTTAGCAGCATATAACTATGAACTCCCCATGTCTTTATTAATATTGATACCTGCTTTACCAAGAAACTATTAATGTTCAATAAATTACTTTAAACAAAATGAACGTCACCGATAACTCAACTGTTGTCACTGTAAGACAAAGCTAATCTTTGAGACACGTGGTAGATATGCCATCGTCCTACTAAAGATGAATAAAGATATCAAATAAAACAAGTTTTAAGTTTTATACTGAAATTGAGCAGCTACACAAGATGATTTAAAAGAAAGTTCTGATAGTGAGCTTTACTCAGTAAGCGACCTGTAGCTAGTGTTGCTACTATTATTGAAATATAGCGAGTTTAGTGGGGTTTTTTAGTTGTGTTTCTTATTAAATCTAGCTTACTTTTGCTACCTTCTCTAATGTTACCTCCCCAAGCTTTAAGTGAGTGATTGTAATATTTCCTCTTTATTATCAGAGAGACATCATATCTGACTCGAGTATGGCCGAGGTGTCGAAGCTGGATGCAGGAGAGAGTTACTGCTTCATGGCCGCAGCGTTCATCCCCTCCAGACCCAAAGGCAGCCAGCTGGGGGCGTGGAGCCAGCAGCTGTGCACACCTCAAGAGGGGAGCATCCTGCATGGTGCGGCTCTCTATACACACTACACACCACACACCACACACTACACACTACACACTACACACCACACACTACACACTACACACTACACACTACACACCACACACCACACACTACACACTACACACTACACACTACACACCACACACCACACACTACACATGACACTACACACTACACACTACACACCACACACTACACACTACACACTACACACCACACAGTACCAGCAGTGTCACATCAGTTGCCTGGCCGGGTCACGAGTCCTGCGTGTGGCTTTTATGTAGAACAACAACTTTAGTTTGGTGCTCACCTCTCTGGTTGACGTACTTTGTGGTCATTTTCAAGAGTTCCTTCATTCCTTTTTAGGAACTAACATTGTTTTGTTCACCATCACAGTGACTCACACAAACAGTGTGAAGGCAAACATAAAACATCTGCTAAGCTGATCCTCTTGGGTTTTGAAGAACTGTGTGAAGCTAAGGAGCCTCAGTGTCTTCAATTCATGTTAAATGTGGGAATAACAGAGTACAAAAGTGAAAGCGCAAAAGTTTTTCTTTAAAATGAAACGTCCCTGAAACCTTTTTGTGTTAATGTGGGATGGAAAATTCAAGTGTGCAAGTACAGTAGTATACAAGTAGTAATATTTCAAGAATAAAATACAGTATTAAAATACAACTTCGATGCAAGGTTTAAGCATCAGAATATAATTAAAAGTAAAAGTCCAGATACTGAACCTATTTAATAATAATTGATGTTATACTTTGGGATTATATTTAGTGATCTATAAATGTATTAATCACAATTTGTTAAACAATATATTCGGCTGGTTATAGTTCTGAATTTCATCATGGAAACAATAAAATGCTTCTTACCTTAAAAAAAGAAAGAAATTAAATTATGTTAAATAATGATGATAAATTATTGTAATAAATTAAATTATATATTAATTGATACATTATATTATAATGTGTCCTATTAGTATGTATCTGAATGTTTAAAGTCACAAACAAAACATGTTGCAGAATACAAGGTAAAATAATGTTATTAGTAAAAAATATTACAAAAAGGTCAAAACTAAAGAACCTCAAAGGAGTGCTTAGATGCAGTACTACAGTACTTACATCGTCCAGCACTGTAAACAGATGGCTAGAAACTGTGTTCAGACTGATGATTGACAGCTCCACCTGTCTCACTGTGCCCCCCCCCCCCCCCCCCCCCCCTGCAGAGCTGAACCTGGGCGTTTGGGTCGGTATAATCTTCATCCTGCTCACAGTCTTCTTCATCATCGTCACGGTGACCGTCCTCTGCTGCAGATGCTGCCGACAGAGAAACTCAACTCAGTCATCCACACCTGTTTAGTGTGTGTGTGTGTGTGTGTGTGTGTGTGTGTGTGTGTGTGGGTGGGTGTGTGTGTGTGTGTGTGTGTGTGTGTGTGTGTGTGTGTGTGTGTGTGTGTGTGTGTGTGTGTGTGTGTGTGTGTGTGTGTGTGTGTGTGTGTTTCTGTGTGTGTCTCTGTGTGGATGTGTGTCTTTAGGGAGCTGGACTCTCTCCTTCTCTCTTTGTTAACACTGTATTTCAATCAGGAGACGGTTTTGATGTAAGAATACATATTTATTGCAAAGATACACAAATGAATGTAATGGTGATTTTGGCGATTAGGCCCCGTTGTGCAGGAAGTATCATTCGGGAGGGGAGAACCGATCCGATGAAACCCCCCCCGGGGTCTAGACCCTGGTGGTGGTGAATGGATGGTTGGGTCGGTCTGAAGAGGAGGGGTTTAGCTTGACCCTGGATTCAGAGGGACAGGAGGTGAAAAGGGGCGGAGGAGGGTTGCGTAGAGTCACCTGAAATGATAGCTGTCAGAGGGGGGAGAGCAGATTTAAAAGGTTTGGCAGAGCGCTATGATAGGCTCTTGGGAATAGAGCGAAGTGATTGGTTAAGCTGAAGAGTGACGCCCCCGATCACTTATTGAGAGGAGAGAGAGTAGTTACATGGGAATAGTAAATGAAGAGTAAAGACGGTCTTCCTGGTTGAACTTACGCTGAGCTTCATTTGTCATTATTTTCTTATTGTATTTTCACATTAGTGTTAATGTTAGTTGTGCTGCTTGTTCTAACACCTCTATGTGTTTAATATCTGAATTTTAAACCTGTTCACATTTATCAACTGTTGAAATAAGTTCTCAAATATTTTACTTTAGTAAAAGTAGTAAAAGTGTAGTCTATTTTTTTAATAGGAGAAATCCTGCATTCAAAATTCGACTAAAAGTACAAAAGCATTAGCATCAAAATATGATGAAAGTACCAAAACTAAAAGTACTTATCATGAAGAATGATCTATTCTCAGAATAACATATATTATATTATATATATTTATATATTATTGGTTACACATCCATATGTACATTATTTGATTAGTTGATTTATATTTGTATTACTGATATAAGCCTGCAGAATAACTACTACAGTAACTAAACTGAACAAAAAGTACAATAATTGGCTCAAAACTTTAGTGTAGTAGAAAAGCATGTACGACATAGTATAAAGCATCATAACAAGGAAATAAAAGTTGAAGTTTAGGTCAAATAGTACATAAAACTGTGAGCCACCAGTGCATTAATCCCATGTGTTTAAATGTGGTCCACAAATCACCAGGAGATCAACAATCATGGACAATTTAGTTTTTAAATATCATATTCTTACCACAGCTACATTCCAAACAGGAAGAACTGGCGTTGTGATTTGTCTTCCTGTTACACTGTATTAGTGCAGACTCAATGTGTAACATTCTCTCACAAATATACCCTCTAATTCCTTTTTTAACCTGTCATGTAAATCCTGTTTCCCTCACACGGTTTCTTCTAAACACAATTGTATTATTATTTTTGTATTATTATCTTTCCTTCATGTTCTGTCAGGACCAAATTAAAGTAACCACTATCAGGACATGAAGTGTTTAGTGACCCCTAGTGGCTTCCCCATGACACTGCAGCAACATGGGCAAACTCATCTCTAAATCCAGATTCAGCTAATCTTTCAAAAAAAGCTTGTTTATGGAATCATTCAAAATCAATGATTATTTGTATGTGTCACAAGAGTACCGTTTGTTGATCAAAAGGATTCAAGCAATAAAACATTTACAAAAAAATAAAATCTTCTCCAGATCCTATTATTACTAAAAAACATTTTGCTTGATTTGAACATTGTTTTTTGTATTGTGGGGATTGGATAGAAAGTTAGCATGTATCTGACCGAGCTAAAGTAAGATATGTTGCTTTTAGTGGCAAACAGTCATCAGAATGACCAGCAACTGTCCCTCAGCTCCACAGAATGCTTTACCTTTTATGACCCAACAACTAAACTCTCCTCAGCAGCATGAGCTGTTTTCAGAGAGAAGAACTACAACAACCCACCTGCCTGCTGCTCAGCAGCAAACAGCAGACACACAGTTAGCTGCTGAACAAACCAAATGAAGGAATTGAATGGAATCCACATGCAATCGTCACAAATGTGGACATTTATGGGAGGCCTGTGGTGCAGTGGGTTGTGCGTTGGTGTTCGGATCAGGGGAGCACAGGTTCAAACCCCACTGCAGTCAGCATGTCGTTGTGTCCCTGAGACACTTCACCCCAAATTGCTCCTGTGGGGATTGCTCACAGTACTGAGTATGTAAGTCGCTTTGGATAAAAGCGTCTAACATGTAACATGTAATGTAATGTCATTTATACTCTGAATTGAACCCATCCCAGTATTAGGAGCAGAGGGTACTCTGTACAGGGTCTGGTGCCTTGCTAAAGTACACACCTTGGTAGTTCAAAATAGATGAAGTGGCACCTCTCAAAGTACCAGTCCACGCTCTGTAAATGGTCCGATCCAGAACTAGAACCAGCAACCCCCTGATCCAAAGCCAAGCCAGACTGAACTGCTGGGCTGGTAAAGCATTATGAAACTTAAAAAGTGAGATATTTACCTCTTTGGTGTTAGTATAGAGCAAACGGATGTAGGTGGATTCAATCAGCCTGCATGTGACATAGCAGAGACAAGTGTGAATGGCTTGTTGAATCCCCTTTTCTCTGATAGAAGCCCCCCCAAAAAGTGAGTGGGTTGTCTACTTTCATGTTCTGAGTTGGTACTCTGTCTAGATCCCCAAGTTAATGTGCACATGCACTGAGCAAGTGGGGTTTTTCATATCATTTTTTATAATGATATGAGAGAACATCAGCAGTCTCTTAAAGACCAACCAGACTCCATGTTTTAATCATAGATGAGTTTTATTTCTTCATTTTTCAAACACAGAACCTCACATTTAGACGGCAACACATACAACATCACACATAAATGTATTATCATATGAAGAAACCATGGCTCACCATGGCAGTACACACCAGTTCTTTTGAATATCATTTCACTCAACCATGGCTTTAAAGTGCATACATCATAGAAAACACACGCGCACTGCGAGGAGGATCAATGAAGGAAAACTCCAGAAGCACTTTATCTCTCAACAAGTTCACTGTTTGCAGTTCAATTCTGATCAGGTCTGTGACTACACCATGTAACATATTAAGCAGCCTGTACATAAATAAATACAAAAAAAGATAAATACAAAAATAAATAAATAAATATGTCGGCAAGACCAAATCATTTACATCCTTCTGAGTAAATAATAAAATAAGTTGCTAATTTGGTCATTTTTACAGTGCATGGAATAATGTGTTAATTGTGCTACATGTGCCTTTGTACAGAGATACATTTTAAACAATTTAAGAAACAGATATTATTTATTAATCAAAGAGTGTTTTAACTTTAGTGAGTGAAAGGTTGATATCATACTTCATGCGTTTAGGGAACTCAAGGCAGACAATCTGGAAATGTTCTGAAGAACAACTGAATTACATCATTGGATTCTGATGTAGTGAAAACACATTTTCACATATTTCTTACATATTTGGTCACCATTATCAACAGATATTGTTAAATACAATTTAAATAAAGCAGAAACAAGCAGAAAGTGCAAATCAATTAAAATGTCACATGGCCAGCTTTTAGCACCGTATGGCTCTAATAACGTTGATTATGTATTTATCAATGATATTGTTTGCAATAAAAGTATTCTAATATTGTGACTTTTGTAAGTTGTCTAAGAATGTATTCCTGTTACAGCAGCACTGCCAGCAAAGTGCAGGGAATTGATAACCAGACTGAAAAACTGAAACGTTGACTTTAATTAAATGAAGCTCAGCGCAAGTTCTTTCAGGAAGACTGGGTGTGTGTATACATTCACTCCTGCATATAATCAGATCATCACAGGCGTTCTCTTTTACATTTCACCTCAATCTCCAGCAGCCAATCACCGTGCTGCAGTCAAACTTTAAAATGGTTCTCCTCTCTCCTGCAGTCAGCTGTGATTTCAGGTGTTCATGCTGCCATCCGCCTCCTCCCCATCCACCTCCTTTCATCACATCTAGTGCCAGGAGAGCTAATCCAAAGACCTCATCACACCTCCTCTTCATCCCATCTCCTCATCAAATCCAGATCTTAAGCATCCTCTTCATCCCATCTCCTCATCAAATCCAGATCTTCAGCATCATCACCAGTGTCTAGACCCCGAGGGGTTCCCTATATGCTCACGGCTGCATTTCCCCCTTTAGATATACCATTTCAGGATCGGGGTCTAATCGCCAAAGACTTAACATTTATCATATGGCATGAGTCAATAAATGTTCTTTAAACAAAATGAAGTCTCTCCTGATTGAAATGTATTATGTCAACACATAACTGTAGGTTAGTTGAAAGCAATAATATTACGTTAAACCTAATATTTTTTATTTTCATCTAACCTTATACAGTTATGTGATATTTCTATTTCATACATTTAATTAAAGTCAACGTTCCAATTTTTTTAGTGTAGTGACTATGAAACATTTTCAACAACACATGGCAGGAGAGCTAAGGACATCAATAACTGGCCTTCAGGTTAACTTTGACTGTTGTAGACTAATTTCTCTTGGTGTAAAGCCATCATAATGTCAGATTGAGGCCTCTCGCTAAAACAACCGTTCATTAATTTGCATTGTCTTCTTGACTGCACATATTAACAAAGAGTCAAACATCACAGAATGTTGCTTTCACATGGTTCACAGTGTTGTCATGCAATCATGGCAAAGTAGTTATGAGGTAGGCGTGAACTGAAATGTTCCTTCAGAGCCTGCTAGGTTTGTTCCAGTGTGAGGGGACTGTCATCTGGGATATATATTCCTCATGTGCATAGGACACACCAATATTCACATTTTTCATTTTATACAAGGATAATTCTATATACTTACAGTTTCATCGTATTTGTATGAACTGGTTACATGGTATATTGAATGTACAAAGCTTTGCAGCCCAGAGAATAACATGTATTGGTTATACAGTATTTGTGGAGTATTTGCAGAGCTTTGGTGAGCTTCACTGTCCAGCTGCACCCTTCAGCAGCACACACAGTGAGAGACTAGCTCGTGGACAGAGTGGAGTGTTTAACGGCTACAGAGACGGATATTCCCCTCAGGAGTTGACCAGGCAGAGCTAAAAGAGACTGAATATTGGTCCTTCATCAGGTGACACAAATAAATGTTGCTCTGTAAGCAAATGTTTGCTAACAAGTTCACCAAGTTCACTTAAAGGCAAGGATTTGCAAATGTTGTATTCACAGCTTGTTTCTGCTGCCCCCATGTGGCAAACAACACTTATTGCAGGTTTGACAAAGGTATAATGGGAGATGTTTGCATTTTGATCCAACCAGCAGGACTGTGCTCACAGATAGCCTGGAGCTAATGCTAGTAGAGCAGTTAGGACTACATTAACCATAAATCCCAATTCTATTTGTTATCACTCCCCCTCTCTGATGCCTTTGATAAGCATGTCGGAAGAGATTTTCTCACTGGCCGTTCAGATCTGGTACCTGGCTGTAAGAAACACTTTTGAGTCTACCACAGCTAAGGAAGGCCCTCTTGTGTTCCGTGCTGTAAAGCGGTCAGCTGCTCGGCTCAGATCCACCTGGGCTCTGATCCCAGCTGTGTCCCAGTTCCATACTTCAGACTCTGAGCAGGTTCAGAGCATTCAGCAGGTTGACACTTCATTACAATGGTGTCAGCATGCTAACTAAATTGGCAAGACTTTTGTATGTGCCTTTGGTTTCAACTTTAATGCCACAATGCAATGCACAGATTGAACAAGTCCTTTAACCCCCGAAATGAGTTAGCATTTGACCACTTCCTCGTCTCAAAGTCATGTTTTCTTTTTGGCTGCTAACTTCACTGCACCAATCTGTAAAGCATATAGTATAGCCGAGTTGTTACTGTTTTTTAGGATAATATGCGGTCCAATATTACAGTGTAGAAATAAACTTCAGTACTCTCAAATATTTGTAGCAATTCTATCTTTTGGTAGATCTGCTGCCATATGTGCTGATGTTTACGTATGAATATTAAGCTAAATCAGATTGAGTAAACAATGAACATGAAAGTGAAAAAAGAGAGATAACAACAAAGAGACTTCAAAGTGTTGTGTGCTTGTGGGCACTCTGGCACAGTATGCGACATCATAGCTTTTCACAGTTGTAAATAGTGAAGACGATAAGTGGTGTGAAGACACCAGTGGTCCTATTTAACGTGTTTGTGGCTGTTTTGTTTCCTTTACTGGAATTGGCAGTAGTTATCGAAGTTGCACTTACGTCAGTCAGCTCATACTTTATGTATAGGCCTGGGACAGATACAAACATATATTCCTTGTATAATAACAACCAGGATGTTGCACAGCCGACATTAGTGCATATTTTTTGCTTTGTATTGGTTTATCATATGGAACTGGGACACTGATGCAAAGGCCATTTAACTCATTGGTGGTCCATTTGTTTTGGAGTGCATTATTATAATGTCCACTTATGACTTTTAGTGGATAAAATGCTTAAAGAGTAATTCAACATCATTAGAATATTCGTTGGATCACCTCTTTGGGCAGTGGTGTGCAGGTGTTCTCCTCGTCATGATGCTGTGACATTGGGAGTGATACAGGTGCAACACAGCACACTTCTGACACATGATGGGGGGGGGGGGGCTGATGGCAGTGAAACTTCTAATGCTGCATTCCCACTGCCTGGTAAGACCCTCATCTCCCGCAGATGAAAGCGAGTCTCCCGGTGATCCGCAGTGGGAAATGAAATGCTAATGCCGTATCATGCGAGGAAACACAGCTTAAGCCTGCAGTGAAGACACTCTTTAAGGAGCACCTAGTTACTGATGACTGAAAACACTGTTACCATGGTGACGGTAGAGATATCCACTGTACAACCTGACTTTATACAGCTCTCATCCATCAAACCCTAAAACTACTGTTTGACTAGATAATCTGAAAACCACAATAGCTGAGTATATCATTTATTTACATTTTATCTCCGAAGTCCACTTACACATGCTCCAACACTCAAATAAAAAAGCTCAAATAAATACAGGAGATATTTTTTTTTCATCTGGACTAATGTCATTACCGGTAGGGGGGAGGGATGGGAAGCTGAACTACGAGGGTCAGAGGACTACGGAGGGAGTTGGCAGCAGGTATTGTGAATAAATTACAGATCATTTCATTTTTTTATGAATGACTGCCAAATCAGCCATTTAGGGTCAATCCACTACAGAACAAGGACACCCTTTGAATCATTTCCTTTTTTTCATATTGTTCTTCTCAACCCTGACTTGTATAAATAGCCAATAAACCTGATGGCATCAGTTTGTCCCATGGTAGTTGTAGTTTAACATCCTGCATACTTCTCATCTTCCCATTGTGACTCTAAAGTGTCCCCTTGAAGCATCAAAAGAAACTGGAACTTGAATTATTGCAATGAATAACAGCAGAATGTTCTTTCCCTCCCATCTATTTAATCACCCCCCTTTTTTTTCCCCACCCTCCCTTTGCCTCCATGGTGTGGCCCGTCCTCTTACTTGTCTCCTCTTCCTCTCCATCTCTTGTGTTTGCGTGGTGCTCATGGGAACCTGTTGACGTGGTAACCCCCACATGCGTGATGGTTGGTGAGAGATCACTTCAGGTCAATGCCCTGATTCTGGGACTGAGCCTTCTCCTTGTGCTGAAACACACAAAAGACAAGGAACAGGATTATTATTTATATTGAATCTATTAGTATAGACATCTATGAATTCATGATAAGAATAAGTGGCCCTATTTTTCTTTTTGGGTTCTCCCTGTAGTGTGTTATATATGTAGGTTTCTGTCGGTGCATGTAAATGGTCTGTTAAGCCAGTGGTTCCCAAAGTGGGGGGCACACCCCCTAAGGGGACCCTGGCAGTGTGACAAGGTGGAATTAATTTATATGAAACCATAAAATCATGCCAATGATCATTCAAAGGAAATGAATTCAGCATGATAAATCAACTCACTGTCGTCTATCTGTACCACTTTTCAAACTATGAAAGGTTAACTTTTCAAGGGTCAAACATTTTGGATCCGATAATAAAGTACCAACCACAACTACATGTGCAAAAGATTATTAGAAATAAAAGGGAATGGGGATAGAATTTGAATACACACAACCATCCAAAATGCAGAACCAAATACATGGGACCTTATCGAAACATTATAATGAATATAATCTGGATGTTTCCTGACTCAGTTGAGGGTTGGGTCTCGGATACTATAGCTGCAATAACTAAAAAGTGAACGGACTCTGTGCTGAAGTTGCCGTTGTGTTTCTTTGGTGAGAGCTAGGTGGAAGTGCTACTGTAGAGTGCTGAGCTCAAAATTCAAATTATTTCAACTTTGACCTCAATGCCTGTTAGGTCCCAACTAGGGGAAGAGGAAGAGCAACATACACCAGTTGGAATTGGTAATAATTACAAGCAGTTTATTAAATAACAGGATAACAAAATGGCAGACAAGCAGCCTGGAGCAAACGAAAAGGCCAAAAGGGCGCAGATTTAAATGAGCAACCAAACAAAGGGAGGACTCTAAAAGGGAGCCTAATCAAACACAAAGGAATAGATACTAATAAACAAAATAGCAACAAAACAACTCTCACTATTAAAGTGGTACAAACTAACTAAAGGAGACTGTAGGAAAACACAGCTAAGCTAGAGGACAATAGCCAACGTAATTCTAAGCTACTCTAGGCACATCTAATCACAACAACACTAACTAAATACGGACCACTCGAGAGAACCACTGTTAACAGATTTGTATACAATCGAAGAGCAAGTAGCGAGAGGCGTCTGTTCACACAGCAGAGCCTCCCGACTGATAGTTGTCCACAGGCTTTGTAGTCGTCTCCGGAAGGTGTGCGCTGGGATTGGAGCGCGTCGGGCCCGGCATGCTCCAATCACAATCTTCGGGGGTGGACCGGGAGATGAGTAGCCAATGACATCAGGGCAACCGCACAGCTCATTTACATAAAACAGTCGAAGCAGAGTTAACAGGACCGGGGAGGCGGCGGCCGTAACAATGCCGCTGACTTTTTCGCTGCGCAACCAATCAGATGTCAGCTGTATGTAGCAGCGCAAGCTAGCAGGGTACATAACCATTAAAAAGAAAACTTAACTCACTGTTTTCACCGCAAGTCTCTGCGCCCAACCTCGCGGAGAGCAAAGAGCAAATCGAATGAAAAAGCAGCTTAAAGGTCCCATGTCATGGCCATTTCTACTGATCATAATTCCATTGTTGAGGTCTACTAGAATAGATTTATATTGTTCAATGTTCCAAACTCACATTGGTTTCTCATACAGCATCTCTGTATAGTATGTGTATTCACTCTCTGTCCTACACGGCTTGTTGGAGCTCCTGCCCCCCCCCCTCCCTATGAGCCCAGTGGCCGTCTGCGAGACAGCGAGACACAGCGAAACCCAGCCCGAAACCAGCCCGAACACACTGGGAGTTTGTGTGTGTGCTCACACACCGACTCACAGCCTCGCCGCGTCCCGCCGTCTCAGGGAGGAGATATCGGCGGAGCTGCAGCTGAGAAAAGATTGAGTGTGTGTGTGTGAGGAAGTCCGCGAATTGGTCCATTTGGACCAATCCACGGACTTAACCTAATAGCTCCGCGGACGTAACGTAACGGCTCCAAGGATTGATCCATTTGGACCAATGGGTCCATTTGGGTATGGGCACGTCACCATACCCAGGAAGTAAACAATGGAAAAAGAGAAATCTCCAACGAGGCGTTCTGGGGCAGCATAGACAGGTCTTTTCTGTGTTAGAGTTTTACTCGCTACAGGGTGTACTTTGAGGGTTTGTGACTCTGCACACCGTTTACATGCAGAAAAACCTTCATAACACACAAGGGGACGGGTAATAACCGGAAAAGCATGACATGGGACCTTTAAGAACCGATCATCTGAAGATTACCCTGTGTGAGTTGCATTTGTGTGTTTCCCACTCACCCGTAGCGAGGGCCGAGGAGGCCTCACTGGTCTGAAGGGCCGTATCGGCTCTGCTACAGGGTGGGCCTGCCTTCTCTCCAGGGGGGCCAGGTCGTCTGCTACATCAGGACACCCAATGTATCCTCCAGCTCCAAACACTGAACCGAGGTCACCTTCCAGCAGGTTGGGGCCGCTGGGGGCGTTGAATGTAGCAAAGTTGTGGGGGGCAGAGGTGTTGAAGGGGTCGGCAGTGTGTGTTCTGTTGGTGGAGCAGATACTGGTGTTGCTGAGGTCCAGTCCCAGCAGGTCCTCTGAGGCCACATCGCTGTCTGAGCTGTTATTGGTAGGACTGACATCATGCTCTGGTTCCACAAAGTATTGGTTGTTGTTTGTTTCAGGGAGAACTTCCTTACCAAACAAGTCCAGCACCTCCTGGTTGTCATGGCTACCTAAATCTAGCAGTTCCTGATTTGCGTTGCTACCGAGATCCAGGAGTTCCTGGTTGGAGTGGCTACCTGAAACTACAACTTCCTGATTTTCTTTGCTACCAAAATCCACTAAGTCTTGGTTGCCGTGGCTATCTAAATCCAGCACTTCCTTATTTTCAGGAAGGGAGAAATCCAGCAGTTCCTGATTGCCATGGCTACAAGGTTCCAGCACTTGTTGGTTATCATAGTTACAAGGCTCAAGTAGTTCCTCCTCCGTGGTATTGCAATAGGGATCCACCACCTCCTGGTTGTCATGACTACAGATATCTAGGAGTTGCTGGTTTTCATTGCTAACCAACCCGGTGTTGTCCAGCCCAGAAGCTTCCAGCACTTCAAGGTTTCCATTGTTACACAAATCCAGCAGCTCCTGGTCATTGTGGCGACAATGTTCAAGCACTTCTTGGTTTTCAGGTTCAAGTACTTCCTGGTTGCTATAGTTAGAGGGTTCTACCTGTTCTGTGTCGTCATAGTTGCAAAGATCCATTGCCTCCTGGGTATCATGGCCAGAGAGGTCCAAGACCTCTTGGTTCTCTTCCTCAGGGCTGAGCTTGAAGCCATAAGGGTCAGAGTCCCGCACCATTTGGGAGGAAGTGATGTCAAACTCATACTGATCCATGGTCAGTTGGTCTGGTTGACTAGAGGAGGGCTCAGGGTCAAAGGTCAGGTCGTTTTCAGTGGGTTCTGGGCTGAGTTCAGCCTCATCAGGGTCCAGGAGGGTGTGACTGGAATGCTCTGGACTGAGTTTGAAGCCGTATGGGTCGAAGGAAGACTGACTGGTCGGTTCGTAGTTTAAATCGAAGCTGAGCTCTCTGTTCTGATCAGAGTCTGGCAGATTGAAAAGGTTATCGGAGTCTTGGGAGTTTAGGGGAGTCGCACGGTTTTGGGGTTCCTCTTCCATGTCGCCAGCACATACTGTGAGTTGTTCTGCGAGCTGAGGAACAGCCGGAGCTGAACCAGGACTCAGACCTAGAGAAGAAAATATTAAGCTGTCAAGGCTAGGACATGAGAAACATTTTAAATGTATTTAAAGAGGACCAAATATCACATAGTAGTTCATGTAGAGGCCAGTAAAGGATAAATGACTAAATCAACCAGTAACAAGGGTGCTGCGCAGAGCTGGTTATATCCATGGGGAGAAGTTCAAAGACAGGAGCCCACAGGAATCAAGCTGTTTGTTCATCATACTTAATACTTGTATTCATATTATTTAAGCAACTCATTTATATAGAATATAAAATAATAGATCTCACTTTTTATTTAATCGTAAAGGATCAGCTGATTCTATACCTCAGTTTCGTTCTTCTTTTAGTTACTTAAAAGAAGAAGTACTTAGGCTTATATTTGTGTGATGTAAATTGGCCCTTAAGCAGTGGTGAAAAAGTACTCAGATTATTTACTTGATTAAAATGACTAACACCACACTGTAAAAATACTCAGTGTTTTTATAGAAAAAGTATTAACGTTCGATTAGGAAAATGTACTTAAAGTATAAGAAGTAAAGTACTCATCTTTAAAAAAAAAGATTTTAAAGAACGAGCAGCAAATATTCACATTTAAGAAGCTGGAACTGTGAAATATTTTTAACAAACAATTTGCTGCCAATTCATTTTCAGTTAACCCACCTATTGTTTTAGTTACTTAAAGGTGGGGTAGGTAAGTTTGAGAAACCGGCTCGAGATACACTTTTTGTTATATTCCATGGAAAGCTCTTAACATCCCGATAGCAATGAATATCTTAAGTGCTTTGACAAAAAATCCATAAAAAAATGTCATCTGTGGAAGCCGTAATACTGTAAAAAGCCCGACCAATCATTTTAGCCGGCCCGGCTAAAATAACTGGATGGCCTACCTGCCTGTCAGCTTTCCATCTGTGCACAAACTTATCTCGTGCCCTCATTGGTCATGTGCGCGTTCGTGTGTGTTGGAGGAGGGGCTCTGTAAGGAAGTGGCAGATTTTTTCCGGTTGTGTATTTTCAAATTCTAGCGCACTCGAGCTGGTTTCTCCAAAATCACCTACCCCACCTTTAAATATAAGGTTTGATGTTTTAATAGCAATTATGCATATTTTAAAAGTGTTTTGTGTTTGTTTATTGTGTGTCAAAATCTGACTTTTAAAAGTAACCAGATATGAAATCTCTCAAATTAATGTAGTGGAGTTCAAATTAAAACAATTGCTTGCTTGTAATGTAGTAGATGTATGAAATAGTACCCAATGAAAATACTTGGGTACAAGTATCTCAAATGTGTACTTAAATACAGTACTTGAGTAAATATACTTAGTAACTTTCCACCACTGCCCTTAGACATTAATACGTAGGAAAGCAAGATGCATGTGTTGTAGTTTAAAACACTTAAGTATAAAAAATATATACGATAGAATAATAATAATAATTTCAATTTTTATAGCGCCTTTCAAGAGACCCAAGGACGGAAGAACATATATAGTATAAAAATGAGTATAACATTTGAAAAGTGTGTATGTGTGTGTGTAAAATGACCTTGTTCCAGTCCTGCTGTGGTCTTGGTGGCAGCCTCTTCAGGTGGATATCCCAGACTCAGTTCTTCTATGTCAGAGGGGGGGGGAGACAGCGCCCAGGTCCAGCTCATACCCATTGGGGTCTGATTCTATGGAGTACTGCCCCTGGGACCTCCAGCCCTGGATCGGCACCGGCCCCAGCTCCTCAGAGGAGCTCTGGATGGGTTTGAACCCCAGAGGATCGTCTCCCTGGGCGATGGCGTCCAGGTCCTCTTGACTGTAGCTAATCTCGATGTCGCTGTCTTCGTTGGGGAACTCAGACTCGAAGCACTGAGTTCCTGTTGAGGCTTTGGTTTCAGCGCAGGACAGACTAGTGTCGGCCTCATCCCCAATATCTCCCGCCCCATCATCGACCTGCCCCTCTGGAAACAGAACATCTGCTGCGAAGGGGTCGCTGCCTTTGAAAGGGTCTGAAGCGAATCCACCTGGCAAACAGAGAATTCATAAAAACTCAGTGACATGTCACAATGGTTTAATAATTTAGATCATATTGAAAACAAAGAGAAAAGCTGAACCAGGCCCCATGATACAAGCACTCTCAACAACAGTAGCTGTACCAGTAAGAGTTGTGTCAGCAGCAGATAGAAACCCTGAAACCAGAAGCAGTGGTACATAAGTCAAATCAAATCAAATGCTAAGCATTCGCCGCAAAATGTGTTGTATTTGAGCATTCATTATGAAAAATGATATGCATGTGTTGAGGTCATTTTAACAGGATTGTTGGTCAAATCAATAACAATGCATATTGCACAGTAAACAGTATTTGCCCCTTAATTGGAGTGGATTAAAAGTATGAAGGACAAGCACTTTTACTTGAGTTTAATAATTGAGTGAACCCCACTTTCTAAAAGCATTTTCAATCCTACCATTTAGTTTACACTAGATTTGTGTTTGTACATATACTGTAACCACAATGAAGCATTGAATCCATAATTATATAATACTTGCTTTCAGAGAGTTTCAAATACAAATAAAGTCACAGTATATGGTAAGTAGAACACCTGAAAGTGAAATGAATGTAGTTAACTAGAGTATTATTACTCACCAGACGAGTCAGTTTTAGGGAACAGGTCTTCATTGAAGAGGTCATCTACAAATCAAGTCAGACATCAATTGTAAAATAATTGAATAAAAAAAGAAAGATACATGGTGAGAATTAAAAACAGGACAAAGCAGTTTACTAAGACTGCAACCTGCCCCGAGTCCTCACCAGGGCAGTTGTTAGAGTTATGAACAGTGGGACAACATTTCTTATCCATGCTAGTTTAAAACGCCCCAAGTCAGTTTTATCTGCCAACAATTCTAAATCTTATGCTTTTACTTTGTACATGTCATTTATAGTAGTTATTGGAATAACAATGTGAATAATTAGAAAATGAATGATTGTTTTTTTATTTGAATATTGAATTGATGTGTTTTTTTTCATATATTAATTATGTATTATAAGCTGCTTAAAGCTAAATGTATGTCATAGAGTATACTGTACTGCCCACTGGATGCTAACAGCTATGTCATACATATCGGGAATGTGTTATTTACAATGTAGCATCATCATCATCACAGAATGCAGCATGGGCTTATCTCATATGTTGGAAAGTGGTAATTAAATGAACTAGACTGTGACAGATATTTGTCCAAAAGAAAACGTCATTTTGTTACGCAGTGATTCAGTGAGAGGCCCTATCAGCCTGACAGTGATACATACGCTCACTCTGGCAGTGGGCGAAGGGGTCTGCTTGGTAGAAGTCCAGCTGGTTGACAGCGTCAGGACTAACAGTGGCCTCCTCCTTCTCTCTCTCTTTCTCCCCTTCAGTGTTGAACACCCCGTCCTCTGGTTCGTCCTCTATGTCGGACCTGTCCATCTGTGAAACATGACAACACACACTTTTACATTATTAGACTGGTGACAGTGTGTTCATACATTTCAATCATTACTAACTGTGTAACAATTCAAATAAGCATGTATGATTTCAGCCTGCAATAGAAATATGTTGTCATACACTCTGCAACTACACATATTTCATATATTTGTGCTTTACCAAAGCTGTATTTTTCACGTGTTTATTTGATGACGTGTTTAGTGGTGAAGTTGCTACCTTTGGGGAGCTGGTCCCACTGTCGCCTGCTTCTTCTCTGGTATCTGCCAGATTATTGCAGAAAGACGAGCCACTGGCCCTCTGCACACAGACAGAGAGGAAGGACAGAGAAAGAGAACAATGCTCATTCACAGAAAATAAAATGCATCTACTTTGCGATAAAGGTAATCACACCTATCCACTAGGGCTGTGCGATTATGGCAAAAATCATAATCACGATTATTTTGGTCAATAATTGATATCACGATTATTAAAAAACGATTATCCATTTACTTTGAAAACATCCATATATTGAAAAACAAAAATTGGAACAGTATGTTTTTAACAGTTGATTACCCTGAACTTTAAGTATAATTCAACAGAAAAACCAAAAAAAAAAAAAAGAAATTACATTTTTTTTTTTTTTAAATAAAAATTATAATCGTTTTATTTTGATTACATTGTTTTCGTAATCGTTGCAAGCCAAAATCGTAATCGAGATTAAAATACGATTAATTGCACAGCCCTACTATCCACCATTAAAAATGGTGGCTCTCATGCTTTAAAACACATTATGTTTAAAGTCTACATATTTATTTATACGTTATTACAATATGCATTGATTTTATTCCACTGGACAGTACTTCATTTTACATTCTGCTTTATTTGATTTTACTCTATTTACAACAAGTATGTTGCATGTTGCATTGTTGGAGGACTTACTAGCCAAAGTACAGTGTGGGTGCATCATTACTGTGATTTACCATGATGAGGTCAGCATAGGCAGGCAGTGATTGGCTCCTTCCCCAAGGCCTCATGGGCAGTGGGTCATCCTCCGTGGTGTCTGCAGGGGAGGTGGACTCCTCCAGCTGGCTCTCTGGAGTCATGGCACTGCCTGACAGAGAGCACAGCGTGTGCTCCTCCTGAGGGAACAGACGGGTATGGAGCATGAGGAAACAGTGAGAGACTGATGACTCTCAGGACAAATGAACCAGCAAAGTGGGAAAATAGGACACGGTCAAGAGCCTCGGTGTCACCCTGGACAGCACATCTCCAGACTCCATCCCTGTCCGAATCCAGCACATCTTGTTCAACACGTTAGGGTTAGGGTTACCTCCTAAACTCAGCTGTTCAGATCAGCCTACTCACTTTAGTCGTCCGGTTTGTTCATGCTACTTCCTGTCCCCCATGCATAACTGCTTTTAAAGTATGTCTCTCTTTCTGTCCTCCCTGTTATTATATATGTTGCTGTGTTTACTTGTTAAGTGTTTATTGTATCCATTGGAGCTGTCCTTGGGTGCTATGAAAGGCCCCTCCAATGAAAAGATATTATTCAATCAAACAGTGTATTCATCTCTAATGTCCCTAGTAGAAATATCTTTATTGGGGGGCAAAACAGATCGATTTCTTATTCAAGAAGCATGGCATTAGTTTGGATTCTTTTTTTTGCTTGACTGCTCTAGAAGATATATGCATTAAGATCCTTTCAGAAAAAAGATATGTCTTTTTGGAATTGATTTTGACACAATTGCCTTTAAGGAGGAGACAAGAGGGGGAGACAGAGGGGGAGACAGAGGAGGAGACAGAGGAGGAGACAGAGGAGGAGACAAGAGGGGGAGACAGAGGAGGAGACAGAGGAGGAGACAGAGGAGGAGACAGAGGAGGAGACAGAGGAGGAGACAAGAGGGGGAGACAGAGGAGGAGACAGAGGGGGAGAAAGAGGAGGAGAAGAGGAGGAGACAGGGGGAGAAGAGGGGAGACAGAGGAGGAGACAGAGGAGGAGAAGACAGAGGAGGGGAAGGAGACAAGAAAGAGGGGAGACAGAGGAGGAGACAGAGGGGAGGAGACAGAGGAGGAGACAGAGGGGGAGACAGAGGAGGAGACAGAGGAGGAGACAGAGGAGGAGAACAGAGGGGGGAGGAGACAGAGGGGAGGGGAGACAGGAGGAGGAGACAGAGGAGGAGGAGGAGACAGAGGGGGAGAGAGGAGGAGACAGAGGGGGAGACAGAGGAGGAGACAGAGGGGGGAGACAGAGGAGGAGACAGAGGAGACAGAGGAGGAGACAGAGGGGGAGAAAGAGAAGAGGAGGAGGAGGGGGAGACAGAGAGGAGGAGAAGGGGAGACAGAGGAGGAGACAGGGAGGAGACGAGGAGGAGACAGAGGAGGAGAAGAGGGGGAGACAGAGGAGGAGACAGAGGAGGAGACAGAGGAGGAGACAGAGGAGGAGACAGAGGAGGAGACAGAGGGGGAGACAGAGGAGGAGACAGAGGAGGAGACAGAGGGGGAGACAGAGGGGGAGACAGAGGAGGAGACAGAGGAGGAGACAGAGGAGGAGACAGAGGGGAGACAGAGGAGGAGACAGAGGGGGAGACAGAGGGGGAGACAGAGGAGGAGACAGAGGGGGAGACAGAGGGGAGACAGAGGAGGAGACAGAGGAGGGAGACAGAGGGGGAGACAGAGGGGGAGAAGAGGGGGAGACAGAGGAGGAGACAGAGGGGGAGACAGAGGAGGAGACAGAGGAGGAGACAGAGGGGGAGACAGAGGAGGAGACAGAGGGAGGAGACAGAGGAGGAGACAGAGGAGGAGACAGAGGAGGAGGAGACAGAGGGGGAGACAGAGGAGGAGACAGAGGAGGAGACAGAGGAGGAGACAGAGGGGGAGACAGAGGAGGAGACAGAGGGGGAGACAGAGGAGGAGACAGAGGGAGGAGACAGAGGAGGAGACAGAGGGGGAGACAGGGAGGAGACAGAGGGGGGAGACAGAGGGGGAGACAGAGGGGGAGAGACAGAGGAGGAGACAGAGGGGGAGACAGAGGGGGGAGGAGACAGAGGAGGAAGACAGAGGGGGAGACAGAGGGGGAGACAGAGGAGGGAGACAGAGGAGGAGACAGAGGAGGAGACAGAGGAGGAGACAGAGGAGGAGACAGAGGAGGAGACAGAGGAGGAGACAGAGGAGGAGACAGAGGAGGAGACAGAGGAGGAGACAGAGGAGGAGACAGAGGAGGAGACAGAGGGGGAGACAGAGGGGGAGACACGAGTCATAGGTCCCCTGGTTCAGTCAAACGGTTAGAGTGGGGAATAAGCCCAGGTATATGACCCGCTAGCTCAACCATCTTAGAGAGTTCCATAGCGCTCTTTAATATTTCACATGTATAGCATAGCATCTGATCTTAGCGACCTCTCCAAGTTTGAACACAAGCCAGCATTCACCCCGAACACACTCATTCATCCAGAGCAGAGGTGTAAAGTCACTTAGTAGATTTACTCAAGTACTGTACTTAAGTACACATTTTAGGTATTTGTACTTTACATGAGTATCTACATTTTCTGCTACTTTGTACTTCTACTCCTACAATTCAGTGGTAAATCCTGTACTTTTACTTCATTAACTATCTTTAGTTACTTCACAGATGTGGATGAATGATATGAAATCTAACCAAGTGTTAAATCAGACTTTAGTTCCACCTGGAGTAAATCCACAAGCTACCCTGCAGTATACAAAGTCATTCAAACTAGCTGCACCTTTACCAGCTTTGAGAACACTTTCATGATCAATCATTATAAAACATATCATATACATTATTCTGAAATGGACCAATCTGCACAATGAATACTTTTACTTTTGGTACTTTAAGTATATTTTGATGCTGATACTTTTCTACTTTTACTTGAGGAACATTTTGAATGCAGGACTTTTACTGAAACAGAGTATTCCTTACTTCTACTTTAGGCTGCCATACAAGGTGCACCCGCTCATAAACATGAACATTGAAATGCCGTTGGGGACAATTAGGATTTGAACATCTTCCCCAAGGAGACATCTACTGTACACTGCGGGGGTTAGGGCTCTGGCTACTGCAATTCTGATTGGTGGACGTTCCCTCTACCTTCTACAGCCATTCCCCACCTTCACAGTATCGCTATCACAGAATCATTCACACAGGTGTAAAGATGCACGCCCCCCCGTACCTGCAGGATCTCTTCATAGGACTGCCTGATGGAGTCCTGCAGGGGGGTGTCCCTCTCTCCGGCCTCCTCCACCTTCCTCTTGGCCTGCTTCACCTCGTCTCTGAGCCTCTTCAGCCTCCACCTGACTCTGGCCAGCTCCCTCTCATACTCCTCCACCTGGCTCTCCTTCACCCCCTCCTCCGCCTGCAGGGACAGGATCTGCCAGGAATACACAGTGTGATGATTAGTCTTCACCTGTCACATGCACTTCACTGATACAATGAGCACGCTTCAGAGGATCAAACTGTGCAGGGAAAATGCAATTTATACTGTTGTTTAGAATAATAAGATAAACAGAAAGGGCAGTCATGAGGAAGTTGATTGAGGGGGGGGGGGGGGGGGGCTTATGGATATACAGAGTTGAAGAGATGAGTCTTGAGGCGGGACTGGAACAGGGTGAGGGACTCAGACTCACGGAGGTCTTGGGGAAGGGAGTTCCAGAGCTTCGGGGCTGCCACAGAAAAGGCTCTGTCCCCAAAGCTCCGGAGTTTGGCCCTGGGGGTGGAAAGCAAACCGGCTGAGGTGAGGACCAGGAGTTTGTAGTGGATGCGGTGAGAAACGGGAATCCATACATGTTGTCTATAGTACTCCAATTACTGTACTTAGGTACTATTGTGTGGTACTTGTACTAGTATTTCCACCACCTTCTACGTAATACTTGTACTGCACTTCATTTCAGATTTAAAGTA